AGTGACGAATCTCTAAATTTTCCACATGAAACTCATTTTATGTTGTATATTAACTACTGGAATTTTAATGAAAACTTGGGGAAAAAAGAAAAGTAGGATTGTGCTTTGGGTAAAAGAAGGTATGAGGAAAGCAAATACATTTTTTGTTGAGGATAAAAAAGTCCTTTTGTCTTAAATTGAGGCTAGTTATTTAAAGAGGAAAAACTTAGGACAAAATCTGGGAAAAAATGTGATAAAGATTTATGAAAAAAGACATCTTTAAAAGGATGTGGTCAAACTGGCTTAGATTACAATAAATATATTTAATGAGTTTTAATATCAAGAGTAAGCTGATGCAAAATTACAATTTGGTTTTCCTCTCTGTTGAAAAGAAAACATTAGATTCTTGGTCTGCTTTTTACAAGGAATTGTAAACACAAGTTTTTCTTTACCTTTCACATCATCTACCTACAAAAACAAAGACTCTGCATTTTGTCATTATCAGGTCTTTGATTACTGAGGCGGGAAAAACCGAGTCTATTCAATATTAAAAGAGCTAAGCCTTTTTAACACCTAGTTAACTTTCTGTATTTGCCTGTGGTGCCTTTAACAGCCACTTTGGTTAAATGGATAACTAAGTATTGTTTCATAATGATCAGTGATCCTATTTAGTAAAAAGTCCAGACCGTCCCAAAATAAAATTCTAAATAAAGTCTGGGGTGCCTGAGGCCTCAGCTGGTTAAGTGTCTGCCTTGGGCTCCGGTCATGATCTCAGGGTCCTGGGATGGAGCCCCACACTGGGCTCCCTGCTTGGCAGGGTGTCTGCTTCTCCCTCTGCCGCTCCCTCTGCTCATGCTTGCACGCGCTCTCTCTCTCTCTCTCTCTGAAATAAATAAATGAAATCTTAAAAAAAAAAAAAGAAAAGAAAATCTTATGACTTCAAAGAGGGTCCGTGGAACAAGTCAAAGATTTGTTCCCCTCAAAGAAGAGAGATAGTAAATAGACTTATTTGGTATGTTAAATCACATGGAAGCATTGTCAAATAAGGGACGCTAAACCTTCTGAAATTACATTTTTTACAAATATATGTTATTAAAAAAAGTGTTCCACAAATTATATGAAATAAAATTAATTCAAAATTAAAAGCTAAAAAACCTATGTAGGAACTAGACAGCTAGATAGATGAACCATTTGGGGTTTTAAACAGTTTCCATTGTTAAATGGAAAACTATATGTTCAGGGATCCTTTCTATAGTTGGCTACTAGAGAAGTTTCTCTGAACCTTTAGAACATTATAAAAACCACAACAACCCAAAAGTCACAATGGAGAAATCTCAAAGGGTCAGGTCCGCGGGGCCCCCTGAGGAGGTGACAGAATATCTTTCAGAAGTTCCCACCTGAGTGCGGGGAAGCTGAGCATTTAGCCATCGCCTCTTGTCCCCCACGGAGATCAAGGGGGAAATTCAGTCCCTCTGATCCCAGCTGTCCCATGCTCCAGCAGGGCACTTCTCCACCCTTCACCCCCCCCGCAGTGAGGAAGACCCGGGGCAGGACGTGGACTCGGCCACACAGGGAGACACCAGCACATTTCAAAACACATCAGAGGTGTTAATGGCTGCCATACCAACTCTCCAGGCCTCAGCAGAAAGAGATGGAAATCTCAGCATGCAGAGTCACCGTGAAAGGCAGAAATGACCCACCAGCAAGGAGTCGCTCTCGGCCCCCAACCCCACGAACTTGGAAGAGGCCCCTGAGTCTTCCATGAGACCCCCTGACTGCAGCCTCGTGAGACCCCGAGCGGAGGACCTAGCCACGCTGTGCCCGGACTCCTGTCCCCAGGAAACTGTGGGATAACAAATGGGTCTGGTTTTCAGCCTCTAAGTTTGTGCTCATTTGTTATAGGACAGCAGAAATGAAGACAACCACCTCACAGGAATGTGACTGGTCCTTCAAAACTTAAAACCAGGCCCAAGTAGCCACTGAAGTTAAACATACACCTACCCTGTGATTCCACAATTTCAGGAAAAATGAGTATGGCTACTAGAAGCCATGGATAAGAATGGGTGAAGCATCACACCTGTCAGAACGGCGAGTGTCAGAAAGATGAGAGACAACAGTGTTGGCGAACGTGTGGAGAAAAGGGAGCCTCGTGCTCTGTTGGGGCGAATGCCAATGGGTGCAGCCGCCATGGAAAACAGTATGGAGGTTCCTCCAAAAATTAAAAAAAGAACTACCATGGGAGCCAGCAATCCCACTTCTGGGTATATATTTGAGGGAAAGGAAATGGCCTTGAAGAGACATCTACAAGAACATGCCCGCATGTTCACAGCAGCATTATTCACAATCTCCAAGACATGGAAACAACCCGAAGGATGTAGTGTCCATCTACAGATAAATGGATGAAGCAAATGTGGTATGCATATATACCCACAATGGAATATTACCCAGCCATAAAAAAGAAGGAAATCCTGCTATTTATGGTAACATGGATGAATGGCTCTTGAGGGCATTATGCCAAGTAAAATAAGCCAGACAAAGACATATACTGTACGATCTCACTTACGTGTGGAATTTAAATAAATCCAAGCCCATAGAAACAGAGAGTAGAATGGTGGTTGCCAGGGGCTGGGGGGGTGGGGAAATGGGGAGATGTTGGTCAAGGAGGACAAACTTCCAGTTATAAAATGGTTTAAGTTCTGGGGATGTAACGTACAGCATGATGACTATAGTTAACAGCAGTACTCAATTGTATACTTGAAAGTTGCCAAGAGAGTAAATCTTAAATGTTCTCACCACACATACACAAAAATTGTGATTATGTGAGGTGATGGATATGGAGGTGTTAACTAAATTTATTGTGGCAATCAGTTTGCAATCGATACTTACACCTCGTTGTGTATCAGTTGCATCTCAATAAAACTGAGAGGAAAAAAGAAAGCTAAAAAAAAGAAGAATGTGCAATGCAATGTTCTTCTTTTTTCTCTTTTAAAAGTTGCAGCAACGGGCGCCTGGCTGGCTCAGTCGTTGGGCATCTGCCTTCGGCTCAGGTCATGATCCTGGAGTCCCGGGATCGAGTCCCACATCAGGCTCCCTGCCCCGCGGGAAGCCTGCTTCTCCCTCTCCCACTCCCCCTGCTTGTGTTCCCTTCTCTCGCTGTCTCTCTCTCTGTCAAATAAATAAATAAAAGCTTAAAAATAAAAGATTTTACAAATAAAATGTGCTCAAACAGGTAGTTTCTCTCAATTCCCTCCTGTATTCACAAAATGTTTAAGAAGTCTATTATTTTCCAGGCTACATTAAATGGAGCCCTTCCCCCTGACTGATGTAAAGTTTTCTAAGAGAAAAATGACCTTTGTGTTGGTAAAAGCATACGATTTTTATGACAGGAGAAGCAAATATTTTGCACAATGAAGCATGTAGCGCCTGGGATACTCTTTTAGGCGCCCCCCGCCGAAATTCTTAGCTCAATAGAAGTGTATTCTTAAGAACTAAAAGCCTTAAGATGTGAATGGCCTCATTCAATCCCCTTAGAGATTGAGAAATTCTTTCCATCATAGCACTCCATCAGCCTTAGGTTGGACATTAATAGTGATGACAATTCAGTTCTTCACAAGGTACCCATTCCTCTGTGGATCCCTTCTATTTACTGGTAACTCTTTCCTTCTCTAGATACCAACTGGACTCAGAGCTTTCACCGACTGCTCTAGGCCCTGCTATCAAGAACCAGGCAGAACACTCTCAGTCCCTATTGTAGACAACGAGGATCCCCTCCCAGGATCTTGAACTTACCACAGCTGTCCTCTGTGTGGCACAACCAGATTTTATGGTTCTGGTGGAAGTGGGGCTCTCTTTTCCCCAGAACTCAGTTCTTTAGGAGCTGACTACATCCTCAGAACACCACCTTCTCCCAAAACTGCTCTTAAGAATCAGCTGCAGTAAGGGGTGGGGGTGGGAGAGTGGGTGGGGCATTTGTGTCAAAATCCCAGAGGAAATACAAAGCCTTAATTCCAATTATGAGACAAAATGTTACCTCTTATTAAGGAACTATCAAGCTTCAACAGGCACAAGAATATGGCTTATTTTTGTAGGGATGATGATGGAGAAGGAGAGGAGATTGACAATTTGGGCAGAATGAGCCTTCCTAATTTTTCTGAAATCATGGTCTTTTATATGGACCCATTATCTATGAGGTGGTCTTCCTGCTCCCCTAGCTTGGCATCGAGCCCTTTAGAGACAACTTGGGTGTATGGAGAATGCAGCCTGCCAAGCAGGATCCACCTGGGGCGCCCCGAGTCGGGCTCCCTGCTCAGCGGGGAGATAGATAACAAATATTGCTGAGGACCTACTGAGTGCCAGGTTTCCAGCCCCATGCTGGTAAAATAGTACTAAACCCTATGCACAAAAGTTGTGGGCATGTTTCTTTCTTTCTTGGACTTTTCCAAAATGAAAATGACTTCACTGTTGTTTATGAAAATACATATCATATAGAAAATTCAAAAAGTACAAAGAAGGAAAAAAAAAAGTGGTTACTTTTCTTAGCATTCTGAAAAAATGGAGGTAAGAACAACCACCTCACAATGAGAGACCACATGTGAAAATGTCTAGAACATAGTAGGTCCTCAAAAGCAGGGGTGGAGGGGCGCCTGGGTAGCTCAGTTGGTTGAGCCGCCAACTCCTGATTTCGGCTCAGGTCATGATCTCCGGGACGTGAGATCGAGCCCCACATCAGGCTCCACGCTCAGTGGGGAGTCTGCTTGAGATTCTCTCTCTCTCCTTCTCCCACTGCCCCCTCCCCCTGCTCGCTGTCTCTCTCTCTCTCTCTCTAAAACAAATAAATAAATGTTTAAAAGAAAAAGGCAGGGGTGGAGTTATGTTACAGGAAATGGAGTTTAAGCTGTAGTCACATGAGCCTCTTTCAAGGCCCCTAGAGATTTGTTCCCTCGATCATCAATTTTTGTGAAAATTGTAAAAGTGATTTATTTTTGTATTTATATTTTGTATTTTTGTATTCTTTTTTCAAGTGCCACAAAATCTGGAAGGTCTCCTGCTAAAAAACATTGTAGTTACTTTCCTCGCCTTGATCAATAGAGGAAGCACGTTTTCCATCCACCAGGAAGGAAAGGCCTGTGGGAGCATCTGAGGCCACCATGATTTGGCACCATTGCTCAGTCCCAGCAGTATAGCTCATTTTACCTTTCCCTTGAGGATTAGAGACTCGTGCAGCTCCATCTTCATTAGTGAAGACCACTCATTCATTCTTCAGAGCAATCAAAATGGCTGGCACCTTCCTGGGATGCAGAACATTGCGTGGGCAGCCTGCTAAGCTGTGTGCTTCCTAAATTTAAGAAGAAAGTGTTCCCTACCTTCTCCCTTGCCTGCAGACAACAATTGAAAACAGCCTCAGCTGTCAGCAAGTTGAATAAACAAAGTAAGGGATTATTTCTGCCTTTTTACCACCTGTGTGACTAACCTCTGAAACCAACAACTCCTACTACTAAATTTTATTTTGGAGGAAGCTGAGGAAAAATGATTGCATTTTATGTGCGTAAAAACAATCGCAGCTTGTTTTGTTAGCTTCAAAAGATTGTTTTGGTCATTAAGGACCCATGAGAGGAGAGAGTCTGACTGCACAGCTAATTATCTTCCCCCTGGCTGCCTCTGTGGCTCAAGCCTGGCAGTAATGAGGCCTAGGTCTTGGGTTCGGGCCCCAAGTGCACAAGTTAACTTTGCTCCTAACACAATTACAAAATGCCTCTTGACTTCGGTCCTCTTAAAAATGCATGTCGCTCGTCCAAGAGGGCCTGAGAGAGACAGTATTCTTATCACACAGTTGGAAAAACACTGTCAAAGTACACAACTCACTGATCTTGGGGTTTCTGTGCCTTCTTAGGGATGAAGAAGAGACTTAGAGGACTCTTAAGGAACTGACGGAAGAATAAGAATGCAGAGTAAGTATTGTAGGTTGAATGTAGGTGTTCTTTCAGCTTTAGTTAGAAGAGCAATATATGTCCATTAAAAATAAAGAATTAGTGATATCAGTGCTTGGATCTATTTCTGTAGGCATTTCTGGAGACAACAAAGCAAGATGTAGAAGGAATATATAGTATAGTATAATCCCATTTTATAAGATAACTAAAACCCTTGTATACATCTATGTATATATGCATGAATGTCTTATCATTTCTAGAGAAACACAGTGTTAACATTAGTTGCTCTGGGGAGGACACTGATAGGAAGATGTAGGGAGGAGGGGAAGAAGAGAAGCCAAACCAAAACAGAAACACAGACTACACCAAAAAACACAACCAACCAACTGAACAAAAAAAACAAAGAAAAAGAATGTGTATATGTATCAGTCTGGGTTCTTTCGAGAAACAGTATATATACATATAAACATATGTACATGTATAATAGGATGTATATATACATACATACATATATATATATACATGTGTATATTCATACATTAAACAGTATAAGTATATATAGAGGGGGGGGGGAGAGATTATGGGAGTTGACTCAGGATTATGGAGTTCGAGGACACAATCTGTCATATGCACGCTAGAGAATCAAAGAGCTGGTGGTGGGGGACGCCTGGGTGGCTCAGTCGGTTAAGCATCTAATTCTTGGTTTTGGCTCAGGTCGTGATCTCAGGGTTGTGAGATCGAGCCCTGTGTCAGGCTTCATGCTCAGTGCAGTCTGCTTAAAAACCTCTCTCCCTCTCTCTCTGCCCCTTCCCCTTTCGTGCATGCTCTCTCTCTCCCAAATAAATAAATAAATCTTAAAAAAGAAGAAGAAGAAGAAGAAGAGGTGGTGGTTTAATTCAATTCAAGTCCAAAGGTCTGAGAACCAGGAGAGCCAACGTTGGACTACAGGAAAGGGTGGGCATCCCAGCTCAGGCAGAGAGCAAATTCGCCCTTCTTTTGCCTTTTTGTTCTATTCAGGCCCTCAGTGAAGGGAATGATGCCTGCCTGCATTGGTGAGGGCTGATCTTTTTTACTCAGTCTACCAATTCAAATGTTTATCTCTCCCAGAGACACCCTCCCAAGGCACACCCAGAAATCATTTTCTTTTTTTTTTTTTTAAAGATTTTATTTATTTATTTGAGAGCGAGAATGAGAGAAAGAGAGAGAGCATGAGAGGGGGAGGGTCAGAGGGAGAAGCAGACCCCGCCGAGCAGGGAGCCCGATGCGGGACTCGATCCCAGGACTCCAGGATCATGACCCGAGCCGAAGGCAGTCGCTTAACCAACTGAGCCACCCAGGCGCCCCCAGAAATCATTTTCTACCTGCGGTTTGGGCGTCCCGAGCCCAGGCAAACTGACACACACAATTAACCATCACAGTATAGCATGATGACATTTATGCATTTCAAGCACTTTGGTGTAATGGTATGTATTGTGTATGAGAACTTGAAAAATTGGATTCAAGTAAAATTCCCATAACATAAAATTAGACATTCTAAAGTGAAAAGTTCATCAGCGTTTGGTATATTCACGACATTGTGCGACCACACCTCTATCTAGTTCCCAAACATTTCCATCACTCCAAAATAAAACTCTGTACCCATTAAGCAGTGTCTTCCTATTCCTGCCTCCCCCCAGCTGCTAGCAACCACCAATCTGCATTCTGTCTCTATGGCTTTACCTATTCTAGACATTGCATAGAAATGGACTTCTGTGTCTGGCTTCGTTTGGTCAGCATGTTTTTGAAATTCATTCATGTTGTAGCATGTATCAATACTTTGTTCCTTTCCATGGCTAAATAATATTCCATTATTTAGGGGTATGAATTATTAGGGTATGAATATACACCAATCGATTTATCCATTCATTCACTGATGGACATTTGGGATGTTTCCACCTTTTGGCAGTGAAAAAGTGCTGCTTTGAACATGTATGTACCTGTATTTGTTTGAGTACTTGCTTTCAATTCTTTGGGGTACATACTTAGGAGTGGAATTTCTGGATCATATGGTAATTTTTTTTTTTTTTTTAGTTTTAGTTTAATTTTGTTTTATTTAAATTCAATTAATTAACATATAATGTGTTACTGGTTTCAGAGGTAGAGGTCAGTGTATGTGCTGCCGAAGCGAGCACAGAGGTAGAGGTCAGTGATTCATCAGTCTTATACAATACCCGGTGCTCATTACATTACGTGCCCTCCTTAATGTCCAGGACCCAGTACCCCATCCCCCCACCCCCTCCCCTCCAGCAACCCTCAGTTTGTTTCCTATGATTAAGAGTCTTATGGTTTGTCTTTCTTCCTCTCCGATTTCATCTTGTTTTATTTTTTCCTCTCTTCCAATCATATGGCAATTCTATGTTTAATTTTTAAGGAACTATCCAACTGTTTTCCACAGTGGTTGAACCATTTTGCTTTCCCACCAGGAGTATAGGATGGCTCAACAGGATTTTTTTAATTAAAAAAAAAAAGGAAAGGCACTAGAGAGGTCATAAATTCTCAGAACTCATTAAGGGCAGTATTCACAGGGGGCACAGCGATATCAGCGGGATGAAAACTACCTTTGGCCTTGGGCCAATTCCTTACTTACATGGAGCCTCAGTTTCCTCATTGGTGAAACACAGAGACCATGGCATCACAGAATACTTGGGTATTAAATGAAAACAACATGAGAAAGCATCCTTGCTGGCACAGTGTAGACAAGAGTTAGCTGAATCTCAACGTCCTTTATGAACAGGAGCATTCAATGTAGCTGAAAAGATAGCGGAAACCATGATGGACATACAAATGATGATTCCCCCCAAAAGGGAGAGTTTCCAAAGAACACGTGTCTCTGTGAAGTATAATTTCAACAAGAAGAGGGCTCCCGTGGTGCGGGCAGTATGCCACACGGTGGTAAAAAGCACAGCCTTTGAAAGCAGACAGTCCTAGGTCTTCAAACTAACTTTGCTTCGAGGAAGTCAGAATTCCTTCCATTGCAAGTGACAAGAACCCAACTCAAACAGCCCATGCAAACAAAAGGAGACTTGCTGACGATGGCAAAGCTTCCCGAACGGGGTGTTGTGCATGGGTTATAGGTGGGCGGTAGTACTCTTCCCCTCAGCCCTGGGGAGATAGTGGGGTCTTCCAGGGCTGACGCCTTGACATAAGAACATGTGAAACTGGTCACTCTGCTTTCCCACTACACACCTGCTATCTCATGTGACCAGTGACCCTCATGGGCTCCTATCCTCACAGCCCAGGGCTGGAGAAGAAAGGAGGCTCACTCCCCCAGGCCACAGGTAGAAAAATTCCAGGGATAGTCTGATTAGCCAGGTTTGCAGCATGTGTTCATGTTTCCCACCAATTCCCATGACCAAGAGACTGGTATATCAACCAGCCCCGCTTGGGTCAGATGTTCTATCCCTTGTAGCCAATGGCAGCTCCCATATCTAGGGAGGGAGGGAGAAAGAATGTCTCCTCAAAAGGAGATAGACACACAAATTTTAATGAGATCTAATTTATTAAAAAATTTTTTTATGGTTTGCGCTTTTGGTATCATGTCTAAGAACTGTTTGCCTAGCTCTAGGATCCAGATTTTTTTTTTCCCTAAGTTTTCTTCTGCAATTATTAGAGCTTTACATTTTGCATTTAAATTCATGATCCATTTTTGAATTAATTTTTGTATTCAGTGTGAATTTTAGGTTGAACTTCATTTTTTGGTCTCTGGATGTCCAATTTTCCAGCATTGTTTGTTGAAAACACTGTCCTTCCTCCATTGAATTGATTTGCACCTTTCCTTTTTTGTTGTTTTTTTTTTGGGTTTTTTTTGTACCTTTCCTAAGAATTCACTGGACATATTGCATTGATCTATTTTTGGGTTCTCTTTTCTCTTCCATCGATCTATGTGTCTCTTCCTCTTCCAGTATTACGCAGTCTTGGTTACTAAGACTATATAGTAAGTCTTAACATCAGGTAGAGTATTTCCTCCCACTGAATTCTACTTTTTCAAAGTGATGTTGGCTATTCTAGCTCTTCTGTCATTCCATATAAATTTTAGAATTGGATTGTCTATATCTGCAAAAAAAATCTTGCTCAGATTTTTATAGGAACTATGTTGAATCTATAGATCATTTTGGGGGAAATTGATATCTTTCCTAAACTGAGTCTTCCAATTCATTAGTACCTAATACCTCTCCATTTATTTAGATCTTCTTGCATTTATTTCGACCACGTGATGTGATTCTCAGCATACAGATCCTATCCTGTTTTGTGCTGCAAACGACCCTGTTAAGAGGGTGAAAGATAAGCTCTTGGCTGGGAAAAGTATTTGCAAATCACATGTCTCACGAAGATCTCACACCTGCGATATATGAAGAGCTCTCAAAACTTGAGAGTAAAAGAAACCAGACAAATTAACAATCTAATTGTAAAACAGGCAAAACATATAAATGGATGTTTCACCAAATAGGAGTATGAATGGCAAATAAGCACAAGAGAAAAGATGTTCAATGCCATTAGCCACGTCATAGTTTAGTACCCAAGCTTTGATCATGCACAGACATTAATAAATTGAGCGTTCATGTTGATGGCTTAGTGTGGGAGAATTAGATGCATTCATATTGGCCACTGATGACAAAGGGAAGAATCGAACAAATCCAGTATTATGTCAAAATGGTGTGTTTTTACATAGAAATGCTACTATTGTTTTCTCTAGAGCCATATGCCAAATTTATAACAATGTAAAGGGTATTCACCATATGGTACGTATATTCCTTTTCAAAAATGTGTTAAGTACATAGTGCTAGCTTAACCTGTATTTTAGGGTAGCAAATGTTAGTTTTCATATTTTCTAATATTTGTCCTCAATGATCCACTTAATGCTACTATGCTGTTATTTTGATTGTAAAACTCTCATGGTTTCTCCAACTTCTTACTTATTTGTTTAACCGTATTGTACCAGGCCATAATTCTTGATGGGAATGGGCAGAACCTGTGATTTAAGCATTACTTTAAAGGGCACCTGGTTGGCTCAGTCAGTTAAGCATCTGCTTTCAGCTCAGGTTGTGGTCCTGTGGTCCAGGGTCCCAGGGTCCTGAGTCCACATCGGGCTTCCTGCTCAGCAGGGAGTCTGCTTTCCCTCTCCCCCGGCCCCTCCCCCACTGCTCGTGCTGTCTCTCTCTCTCTCTCTCAAATAAATAAAATCTTTAAAAAAAAACACATTGCTGGGGCGCCTGGGTGGCTCAGTCGTTGAGCGTCTGCCTTCGGCTCAGGTCATGGTCCCAGGGTCCTGGGATCGAGCCCTGCATCGGGCTCCCTGCTCAGCGGGAAGCCTGCTTCTCCCTCTCCCACTCGCCCTG